TGCTCCCATTGCAGTTCCAGGCTACCTTCTCCCATCTCACCCTCTTTTGCAATTGGGCACTTTACCTGGCAGAGCTGAGATTAAATGAAAGCTAGATAATTTTGAAAAATAAAGAAAGCATTCTGAGTGAGCCAACAAAATATATGAAGGATCTAAGATAAATACACATACACAAACACAAAATCATCAATATCTCTCTGTAGATAGAATGATCTTGATGACTGAGGAACTGAAAGAAATGTGGTATAGCTACCAATACTGAGACAAGTAGAAGGAATGTAAAATGAAAAAGGCAGAGTAGAAATTATAAAGGACCAAAAACAAAATTGTGTGTGTATATGTGTGTAGAAATATACACATACACACATATATATACATATATATATATATACATATATGTTATATTAACAATATTTATGTATTATTATTAATGACAATAATTATTAATATCACTGTATATTTTTATAACCTTTAATGGTAGCCTTCTTGTCATCCATATAAATTATAACAGGGATAGTATTAAAACCTGCCATGCATCTCTCATAGTTGTTTAGGCATTGACAATTCTTGGAGTTTACATCCAGCTGTATGTATGACTAAATCTCTCTGCACCTTTGAATTTAGTTGAGGCCACATGAATTGCTTTGACCTATGCAATGTAAGAAAGACCATGTGTGTCACATATATGCCAAGGCATAAAGTACTGAAGTACACATGTCCCCTTTCTCTGTTGTAGCAATCATGAAACCTTTGTAGAGACTGGTCTTCCATTACTCTGAGATCCTTAGAATTAAGATAAGTGGAAGACTTTTCTGAGCTACAGAAAATTTTATGCTTCTTCATAAACTGTTAGGGATTTCTTGTAATAAGTCACTGATTAAATTTGATTAACATTCTATTCCCCTGTAATCTAACATATACATGCAGAGTATTCCTATTACTAGATAATTGGCTTTCAGGTATTCACTCAAATAGAAGGAATGTTAAGAATGGACAAATTAGGGAAGCAATGTGTGGCCTTACAGATTCCAGAAATTAAGCACCCCTCTCTGATGAAAATATTTAAACCTTTCCTGAATATCCCAGACCAGCGGTTTTCAAAACGGGTGTAAGGAGACACAGTATATTGCCACCACTTGTAAGATAAATTACAAGTATTATTAATAATACAGTACTGAAGTTTGTGAATTTTTACTTACAGTAATTAGGATTAATTCAACATCATTCTTATTATCTTTAATCTTGTTATGCTTCTTAGAGTTGGAATGAGGAGTGCATGGGAACGTGGGATGTCTGAAGCCACAGCTAGTATCATTCACTAGGCTGGGTTCTCAGGTAAACAACTGAGATTCTAGTCATGTGCAAACCATGGAAAAGTCCTATATACAAAATGATTATTCCTAAATGACTGAAATCCCACCCTTTTTCTAAGTATAATCATTAGCTAGAAAGAAAATGTAAAATGTGCCCTCTAATTTTTCTAATTGTGAATATAAACAGTATCCAGGATAAGAGATGAATAACCTGACATACAGGTGCTAGGTTGTACCTGGGAGTGTAGAGACTCCAGAATTTCAAGCTAAGAGAGGGAACTGTGTATTGAGGAGTCAGGAAATATTTCACCAAGAAGTGATAAATGGAAGTACACTGTAGTATCTGGGAGGATTCACAAACTTGGAAAGGAAGGAACATGGTATTCTGAGATGTCTGGAATTTACTGATACAGTGGATATCACACCTCACACATGCTGTAAGGTGCTCTAAAATTCCCAGTATACTTATTGGATCCTGCTGGTACAAAAAAAAGTAGAAAGAACAGTTATAGCTGGAAAAGATATTTGTTGATTATTTACTAAAAGTGAGAGAGAGAAGGATGTAAATTATAAGAGGTGAGGGAAAATAGAAGCGGTATTTACTGAGTGCCCATTCAAAGCCAAGTAGTGGTAGTCATTTCACCTTCACATCATCTAACTCTCAAAACTCATCTAAATCTAAAAAGTTTATTGAGTGTATATTATTTTCCCCAACTCCCCAAATTGAGGCTCAGAAAATTTAAGTAACTTTTTAAAAGATTTTATTATAAAAGCATTTGAGATAAGATATGTAACCAAACCTATCTAACTCCAAAATCTATGCATATTTTATCATTCCATTGTTCTTTCTTTCAAAGATGTTATAATCTAGCAGTGGCGATAGTGAAGATATAGGGGTAGGAATTATTCAAAAATATAATCTAAGACAGGATGTGATAAATATGAAATGGCTGATATTTAAATGAGGGCAGAAATTCTAGCTGACTTTGTTTCAAATTGTATGCACACATTATCTTTAGTAGACAAGATCCAGAGCAGATTTTACAATCACCTTATTTTTGTCATTAAAAATCCTATTTGTTTTCATCTTTGTCCAGCACTGTCAAAGTTACCTGTATTTTCAGAATAAGATTACAGCAAGTGAACAGCTAGATACAATATATAGACAGGAAAAAAATTAAAGGCATATTTTTTTCATGTGATTCTATCTTAGAAGCAAATAAACTTTTCCTACAGGAATTCCAGAAGATGTCCTTTTTTAATTTCATTGGCCATAAATGGGTCAAATGCCCTCTCCTGATTTATTTGCACATACTGGGAAAGGGTCACCCTGAAAAAACACTAGCACACTAAAATAAATTCACCATGGGTGAAACTTACATGTAAGACCAAATGTGAAACATTCTTAGGTGAAGATATGGGGAAAACCTCTAGGACTTTGGTGTTGCCAAAATGTCATGGATATGACACCAAAAGAAAGGCAACCCAACAAGCAAATGGACCACATACAATTAAAAAAAAAGGTTCTCCAGCAAAGACAATCAACAGAGTGGAAAGTCAACCTATATAATACAAACCATTTATCTGATAAGGGTTCATCTCAAAGAAATATAAGATACTTATCTAGCTCAAAGATAAACAGAAACTAATAACCTAAATAAAATAAGGACTGAGGACCTTAATAGACATCTCTCCAAAGAAGACATATATATCACCAACAGGTTTATGAAAAGCAATGATCAGTGCAAGTAATTGTCAGAGAAATGCAAATCAAAATGACAGTGAGTCCTCAGCTTACAGCTGTCTGGATATCCATCATGAAAAACAAAATTAAAAAAAACACGTGCTGGTAGGTATGTAGGGAATCAGGAACACTTGGACATTTGTTGGTGGCAAGAGTGCAAAATTCAAAACAGTATGTATGTTCTTCAATGACTAAAATTTAAACTACCATATGAAATAGCCCAGATGTCACACTTCTGGATATTCAATCAATAGCATCAAAATCAGAATCTGTAAGAGGTTTAGCCCTCCTGTGTTCACTACAGCTCTACTCACTATAGTCAAGTTAGGGGAACAACCTCAATGTCCTGTGAAAAACAAATGGATAGATATAAAACATGGCATAGATATAAAATAGGATACTATACTCGGCCTTAAGAAAGTGGGAAATTCTACAGCCTGAGTCAACATGAGTGAACCTTGAGAATATTAGGCTAAAGGAAATAAACCCAATTTGGAAAGAAAAAGACTTCAACATTCCACACATATGAGGCATCTATAATAATCAAAGTCTTGCTGGGGCACTGAACCCTTCTATATATTTACTTCCATGTATTCATGAAGAATGAGTTGATCCTGAAAGTCTGTAGGCATGGGTTAGGCTAATCTGCAGATTACTCATACACAAAGTTTATGTTATTTTGGCAGGTTAGCTGGCTGTCTCCATGAAAGACAGGTACTAGTGTGCCAATAAATATTTTTATAGTTTTGGTGTTACTTTTTTAGATATATTTTTTAGTTGTTGGTAGATCTTTATTTTTATTTATTTATACACGGTGCTGAGAATTAAACCCAGCGCTTCATACATGCCAGGCAAGTGCACTACGACTGAGCCCCAGCCCCAGCCCCAGCCCCTTGGTGTTACTTTTTGATGCTGAAAACCTAAATCCATAAAAGTCTTTGGTTACCATATGCTAAGTTCTGTCAAAGAAAAGAGAAATTGGCAATTTCTTTGCCATTCCAACCATCACATCCATAGTAGACTATAAAACAAGGTGTGTGTTCCTCAGAATTTAACTTTAGTGGACATTCTTCTAATTTTAAGTGGCAAATGAATACAAATGACAGTAATGACTTAGCCATTAGTTCTGGTATCTAGATGAAAGAATCAGTTTCACATCTGTTAGAATTTTTGAACAATCAGTTTGAAGCCTTTTAATGGTTACTTAATTAATGGGAATTAGAACTTTAGCAATATGGCAATTTAATTTTTTTTAAATGAGAAAGAAGTGTCACAGCTACATCTTTCCATCATTTTAATTTAAGAAAATGTATTATCATCTCACACAATATAAGAGTTTAAAAAGCATTTTTCCCCAAAGAAAAGTGGGTTATAATAATATGAATCACCAAGTTGCCTCATACTCAGTTGTCATTTAGTCAATGTTATTAACTTGGTTTTATAATTACTCAAAGAGGTAGATTCCTATAGAGTAATTCAATCACTAACAGCAGGTTCCTTAACCCCTGTTACAGCAAATTTCTTCTATTGATTTATAGACTGTGTGGCAAATGATGAGAAATGCAAAGCAATCATAATGCTATATGGAATATCAGAACTTACGAGGGGTTGGAGCTAAGAACTCATGTTTGTGCATTCATTGCCACATGAACATTTGGTCTAACCACTTCAAGAGTTATTAGGTTGCTAAAGATACAACTTCTAAATGCCACACACAATTTTAACTCCAATATCTTTTCATTTCATGGAGAGCACTATATTGTAGGTCCAATTTCCCAGCGGCCTAGGCATAGAAATCTGTAGCCCTCTGAATGGAGTGCCTTTGGGAACACACATTAACTTAAGGGCTCAAAATAATTGCGACTCATTTTTTAAAAAATATATGTTTAATTGTATGTCAAAAATTTACATTACAATATCAAAAATCCAAGAGTACTTTACTTTGCAGGACATTAACATGGTTTCTTGAATGGAAGCTTTTTTTTTATTTTAGAGACAAAATTATATCACCTTATTCATTTCTAATCATGTTTTTGCTTTTTAAAAATGCTGGTTAGTGACTTGCTTTCTTTAAAAAGAACTAGGAATATCATTCCTTGGAAGTAAGAGACAATGAAGAACAAAAAGAAGAAAAAAATAATAATGAACAAAGTGGATTTAGATATTTTAAATCCTATGTATCTTATTGGAGAAAAAAGTCTGCTACCAATAGAACTTCAATGGATTTAAATGTCAATCAATTTCTCTCCTGATCAAAGGAAGTGAAAAATAACAGCAAAATTAGTGGTGTCAAATATGTTATCTTGCTGTGATCAGGCTTTAATGAATAAATAGTAATATTACCAGGTAAAATTAGAATTGTGTCCCCAAAGATTAAATCTTGAGGTGAACAAAACTTGTTTATCATATAACACTGGGCCTTAACCAGATATATTTCTCAAATGTTATTACCTCACATCAGTCATTGTTAAGAAACAATAATTTTCTTATTTAATGATATAATAGCATTTGGCATTACATTTTCAAATACACTTATTTAGTAAATTATTATGTATGCAGCATCTGTAATGCATGCAGCTCCAGCCAGTGGGGATACGGTGGTTACAAGACAGATTAATCTTCTTATAGATGGTATCTTCTAGCAAGCAAACAGACACTAAAACATAAACAAACAAATATGCTGCTCATTATAATGCTACATTGTGACAAGTGCCGTTAAGGAAATAGAAAATAATTGCTTGGCACAAATCTGTTTTAGATAAGATAAATGAGAAAGGACACTTAGAGAAGGTGATAATGAAGTAAAGACTAGAATAAAATAAAAGCGAGCAAGCACTAAAGTGAAACAAGTGTAAAATAGAGCCAGGCTGGTGTTTGAAAATCAAGACTAGGAGCTGGGTGCCCTTAGCATAGGAAAGACTTTAGATTTCCCTTTTATCCCTCTAAGGCAAACTCATTAGAGGTTTTTGAGAATTTAGATGATAGAATCTAAAGTTTAATAATCCAAAATTTTATATACAGTTTTACATGAAAATATGTAAATATAAAAAGTGGAATGAATACTACATTAGACACACATACATATTCAGAAATTATTAAAATTTTGATGTGCTCACAGTTTCATCCATCCATCTCATTTTTCTGCTATTTTAGTTTTGTTGTTGTTGGTCTAAAGGAAAACTGTTGATCTTACATTGTATCATTTATACTTGCTAAATATATAACTCCAAAGATTACAGACAGTTTTCTTAGCCATGAAGTCATATTTCATTCAATAAAATGAATATTTCCCTGGCATCATGTACTATTTATTTTATATTCAGATTTCCCTTCTATGACTGATGTCTTCCAGCTACTGTAATTGGACTGAATTTGAAAACCAATTACATACATTGTATTTGATCATTATATATATATATATTTTTACTTCTTTTTATGTGGATAAGCATCCCCCACCAAAACCTCCACCCAACCACATTTCACGCTGCCATTGATGTGGTAGAATATATCTGTTCTCTTCTCCTACAGAAGACCCCACATGCTGGGTTTGTCTGCTTTTTTGTTGTGGTGTCACTTAAGTCATGTCTCCTTTGTACTTTTTTTGTACACTGGAATTGAGCTGAAAATGCTTGATTAGATTTTGTCCAAAAGGAAGAGGCTAAGTGCTTTCGTGTGCAGGGCATCTGGTAGCCTCACTATTAATGAGACCATGATTGATATGTGCAATTGGGTGGTGCCAGCCTTATCCCTTCGCTGTGAAGTTCTTCATCAATAGGATATCTGATCATCCGTTCATATTTTTTTCCTCAATCAAATGTTTCATTAAAATTTGCTAAATGGCAATTTTCTAATTCTGTTGTTCTTTCCATAATTATTAGATGAAATTGTGTATAAAATAATTTTCTCTAAATGTCAAATACTATTGTTCCCTTTAAATACAGTTTGCACTACAAAGGCAAATAAACACTGAAATGTTTGTCTTGAATGGCCGTTTTTTTTTTTTCCATAAGTGAGTTTGTTCTCTTTTATCAGCAATGGTATATGTGTGTCTCCTTTGAATATCATTATGAATTTATGGATTTTTATGTGTTCAGTATGTTTTAGTTTATTGTAATCACTATCACTCCTGATGTAGAGAAAATTCAATTTTTAGAGAACCCTTATATTTTGAGTCTTGTCTTTTTGATACTTCCTCATTCATATTTGAGACCTTCTTTGCTTTATGGCATAATGAAAACTCTTCATCTCATACCTGTCCAATCTAGGAATTAGCTAATTTTCCCAAGCAGCTGATAATTTTTATCACTAAAGCTTCATCATTGTTTATTGTTTTTCATAATGGCAAGAATTTGAGGAATAAGTATTTTAGGAAATAAATAAGAATTCAAATTATTGTATATAAAAGTGAAATTCAAAACTGTTGTTTTCTACTTAATTTATATTATGCTTATAACTCTTTTAGGTCAACTAAAAAATCTTGGTTCTGACATTTTGAATAAGGTATAGTATTCTTAAGAGTGCTTTACAGTTTCAAAATACTAATATTACTACTCAAAATATAACTCCTGAGTGGAATTTCTATTTGTCCTTTGGATATGTTATACTTTGCAAGTATAATTAAAATACCATATTTTTAAGACACTTAAAATTATTTGTTTTTACATAGAGTTATGTCACCAGCTTGCTATACAATGAGATTCACTCATTTCTGTTGGCACTTATATTTAATGATGATGTCTTTTATCTCTTGGATTTAATATTCTTTTTAAATTTGTGCACCTTTAGATTACTCCAAATTCAAAACTACGTACCAAGAGATATTTAGAGAAATTTTGTTTCCATTCTTAATATTTTCATTCTGATCCCTCTTTTTTATTTAGGTAATTTTCATTTGTTTGTTTATGCTTAGGTGTTCATTTTGAAAAGAGAAACCAACACATACAAATATTCATGCAATTATCTTTTATACTACTTATATGGCTCTGTACTCCTCTCAATTAACTCAATTTATTAGAGATTATTTCTTAGCAGTATATAGATATCCTTTTATATTTTAGTTTTACAGGCTATTCCTTTAGTATTGAATTTCAAAGGTATTGTTTCCAATTTTGCAAGAACTGTACATATACTTGATGGGTTATGTTGCAGTAAGAGGTGAAAATAGGAGTAAGGAAATTAGTTAGAAGACTATAGAAGTAGGACATATGAAATCCACCCTGGACTAGGGCAGTAGTGGTAGAGGGTAAGAGTAGAACTTAAATTAGGAAATATTTTCAAGGCACAGCCATTTAATATGATTTTAATATGGGATAAGAGAGAAAAATGACTTTGATATCATAGTATATATTGTGATATTATATACATCTGTACATATATATATTTTTTCCATTCATGATTCCTGGCTTACATTTCCCTTCACAGGGCAGGCCATAAAAACAAATACCTCTTTCCCAGCATGGGACATATAATGTAATTTCCATTGTCCATTCTGACTTGGAGCTGACCATAAAGAAATTCTCTGACCTTAGAATGTAGATCCCAAGTCCCTCCCTCATGCCACAACTGTCCGATTCCACATCCTTGAGGAGGTAATGCTGAAGAGTATAAACAGACAGGCCTTGCTGAGTAATCTCACTTGGTCTGTAAGCAATCATGCCTGTGCAGTTAAGTCTCCATAAAAACCTGAAAGGTCAGGTTTAGCCAAATTCCAGAGTGCTGGAAATGTAGAGGCTCTTGGAAGATGGCACTCACAGAGCTTGAAGACTCTGAACCTCAATGTAATCTCTTCATCTGTATGATTTTTTAATACCATCTGTGATATTTTACATTAAAAATCTGGTAAATGTGTTTCATTGAGTTCCATAAGCTACTCAAGCAAATTACTCAAACCCAGGAGGGGGTTATGTGAACATGGGTGTAAGGTTTGTCGGTCAGAGGTACAGGAAAAACAACCGGGGGTTTGCATCTTAAGCAAGGAGTTGAAGATTGGTCTTGGGACTGTGCCCTTAACTGCAGGATCTGACCTATCAGGGTAAATTGTGTTAGAATTAAATTGAATTAGAAGACACCTAACTGGTGTCTGCTGCTGCAAAACTACTTGCTTGCTGGTAGAGAGAAATCCTCATACTTTTTAGGGTCATGGAAATATTCTGGTGGTTATGGTGTGAGACTAGAGGAAAAACAAGCAGTTTCTTTTCCAAGTTTCCACATTTTCCACCTGAACAATTGGTGGCATTGGAGTGTCATTCACCAAAGGGATAGATGTACAAGTTAGGACAATAGCAAATGCTCACTTTTAGACATAAGACTGTGACATGTATTTTAGACAAGTGAAAATAATGAGGAGATTGTTTAATGTGTAAATCTGAAATTAAGTGGAGGAGGAGATTGAGATAAAACTCTTATCGCATTTATAAATTAACATTTTAATACAGTGTTTCTGTTTCTTGCCTGCCAGTTTTTGGTACTTTGACTTTGGTGCTATGTGAACTTAGGCAAGTAACTAGACTATGTAAACTTTTCTCAACCTCTAAAATAGTGAAAATAGTAGCCAGATCAAAAAGTATGTAATGATTTGAGATAATTAATATATAAAATACTCAGCATAGTGTAAAGCATTTTCTAAACATTAAATTAAGAGTAGGTGGTGTTATTTTTATTTTTCACTGTAAAGAGGAATCCTCAGATGTATAGAAATTATCTAGCAGAAGCGATTTTCCTTCATTTGTACCAATAATATTCATCTTCTAGCTTCTGAATTATAATATTAAAAATATGTAAAAAATAGCCTTTGAGGAATTCATGGTGTCATTAACCTCACGCTATATTTGAAAAATTTAGGTTGAAGGAAGACACACACCACATATTTAAGTAGTGGATTAATTGGAATATTATTTTTCCAAAAATGTTTTGAAAAAATTTGAACAAGCAACAATAGAGAATAGGTACAAATTCAAATTTAAAAAAACTACATATGACTATATTTTCATTTTGTCTTGTAAAAACCATGTATAAGTTTGTTTTAGTTGGGATTATGAATTAGGCTGTTGATTTATAGAACTCAACAGGTATGAAAAGCCCTTGCCTTACCGATCTTACCTCAATCTAGTGGCAGTCTGTGTGATAGTTAAGATGGACAGGAGGATCAAACATAAAGTGTGATCAAGTGCTAGAAAGTGATGGGCCAAAGAAATCTTTAGGTTTAAATTATCTAGATCATTTAGAAAGACTAGGTGAAAGGCTGATAGTGAGAAAGATTGGTTCCTTCACCTCACAATAGTAAAACCAAAAGTAAGATAGTGAAAAAAGAAATCTTTGTGGATGGAGGGAAAGGACTTTGTTGTGCTTGACTTTTATACATATATAAAATTATTTCATAATAATAATGTTCATGAAAATTCCATTTTGATCTTTAATTGTACAGATGAGAAACTGAAAGAGAAGTTGAGTAACTTGTCCAAACTTCTTCAGTATACCACTATGTACTGAGTTTTCAGAATATATTCCTCTGATTAATCCTTAGTATTAATACATTCAATAAAATAATAAGAATTACTCATTTTATAATGAGTAAATCATGACTTAGTGATTAAGAAATTTTCCAAAGTTCTTGTAGGTCATGCATGGAGCTAGAATTCTAGCTCAGTTTTCCTGAATGCAAATCTTATACTGTCCCTTATCCAGAAGAGCACTTGTGCTTAATTCCAAATAAATTTGAGTGGATCTGATTTTTACTGACTTAGTTCTGACTCTCTCTCTACTTCTTTTATCACTTTCATGACAGGTATGAAGAATCATTTTAGTGGAGCATCTTAAGTATGATCTGCAGAGATATCTGTACCCCTTCATGGTACTATAATCACTCACTTAAGACAGCTATTCTCTTTTAACTCCATATTATCCTTAATGATATGTCTTGCATGTGAGATTTGAGTTTCTTGTGACCAAAATGTTGTGTAACTTATCTTTGATACTTGAATACACTAGATGAATTTCTTGGTAGAATCAAACCAATGCAATTCTTTTGAAGGTTATGTTTTCCACTGTTTTATTTTTTTTCTTCTAAATTTTGAAGAATCTTTTGTTGAATATGTTGAGTGAGGAAAGAAATAGCCCAATGCATTTAAGAGAAAGAGATATAAAGCAACTTATAGCATCTTTCTAATGATGGTATTTGTGGACTGAAGGAGGAAAAGTTAAAAAAAGAGACTCACATTTTGCAAAACTCATCTTGAGCTCCAGTGTATATTGATGCTTTGCTTCAGGGAACATTAGGACTGGTCAAATAGTAACAGAGATGATTAAGTAACCCAGGGTGCTGGTGTACATGTTTTAATTAAGAGCATAGGGCTGTGGAAAGATAAATAGAAATAAATTGGTATAAATGATTACCTTATACAGTGAGGGGGATAGCTGAATGGATCCTCAAAGCTTGCCATGAGGGTCTGATGTCTCAGATCAAAAGAGATAAAAGGTTTACTAGAGAAAACATACAGATGTTTGAGACTAACTTCAGAGACCTTACCAAGCAAGATTAGAGCAAAGGAAACATCAAGGAACCCAGAGTAAGTAATCTCTTTTGACAGAAATTTGAATTGGAAAGACTTAAAGGTTGAGAAATTAGTTCCTATGGGGTATAGGCCGCCAAAGGGGACACACAGGCAACTAGGATAGGTGCAATGTAGCACATTGTACTTGAGGGACATTCTGTGTAATAACAAGAGTACAGTCTTAAGATCATCCTGACCTGATGGAAATCTTTGATCCTTCCTTTACTACTTTTTAACTTCTCTGAGTCTTGCTTGCTGGGAGGCAAGGGAAAAGGGATGGATACAGAGATGAAAGTTACATCTATTCCATATCTCTTTTGGAAATACAGATGATATAAATCATTTGAAGAATGTAAATTAGTATCTGGCACATTCCAGATTATTTCTCTTCTCTTTTACATTGTGTACCTCAGTTTCCTTATGGATTGTTAGAGTTTTTCTTTTCTCATTCGTTTAACATGAGCTCAGCAATAGGAACAAGTATTGGAATCTAATTGATAATACTGCAAAGATGAGATAAAGGAAGAAAGGAATGGTGAAGTAAAAATATACAAAAATTTGAAAGAAATTCAAAAGCAGATAATTTTTTTGAAAAGAATGATTCTATTGGTGATAAAGAACAGTAAAAAACTACAATTTAGTGTCTGACAGTAGGAACTTAGTAAACAAATGACTAAACTATTCCTCAGTGCGTTTATTTTTTTCCTTAAAATTAATACAATCACAACTGAATAACTATGTAAACTTGGGGGAGGGAAGGAATACACGTTTAAGTCTACTGAAGATGTTTCAATACACACCGTTGACTTTCCTCAAATTAGAATTGTTGGAACTCTGTTCTATTGATTTTCTGTTCCAGAAATTCAGATTGCTACACACTTACAGGTGAGTTAATTTAATAAGCATGTAAATAAAGCACTTAAATTTTTAGTTATTATTAATGAGTAGAAAGCTAGAGGTAATACCTCAACATAACTAATTGAAGTGCTTGCAAACAAAACAACTTATTCATTAAAATATCACTATGGTTATTAATCACATAGCACCATAAAATTCCTCTTAAATGACATTTAATTCAATAATAAAATAACTTTCATAGACAGGTGCCTAATATTATTGTTGTAAATACTAATTTCAATGTTAATATTAAGCCATGTTTCATTAAGTACAACCACCTTGGAAATTAGTATTATTGTCTCAAAAGTCATATTTTATGTTATACAAACACATACACACACCCACACACACATACACACTCAGAACACACAAAATACTGTTTGAAAGTTTCTGCATATCAGAATGTGAAAATGTTACCAGGAAGATTTAACCTTCAAGTTTTCTATTTTTAGAATTTAAAACCTATGTTTCCCCCATTATTCCCAAATAATCCTCTATATTTGTTTTCTATGGCAGCCATTGCAAAGTACCACAAAATGTATAGCTTCTTTATTTTCTCATATTTCTGTATGCTATTAGTCTAAGGTCAAGTTGTTAACTGGGTTGGTTTTCATAAGGCCTCTGTGTGGTTTGTAGATGTCTGTGCTCTGGTGTGTTCACACAGTGTGCCCTTGTATTTGTGTCCTCCTTATAAGGACTCCAGTCATAAAGGATTAAAGTCAACCCATATGACTCGCTTTGCCTTGATTACCTCTTTAAAGGATCTATCTTCAATATGTTTATTCTGAAGTATGGAAGTTAGCACTTTAATATATTTATTTGAGAGGATGCAAGTCAGCCTATGACAATCTAACTCTCTTTTAGTCTTGTCTTAATAAAGCTTATCTATGTAGTATAATGTGATCTCTTAGTTCTTAATTGTGTGATGGAAAAGCTCCTCACTGAGAAGGGGTTATAAATAAACAGAACAGAAGCTAAAGATATATTTGATTCAGAGAAATGTGAGACCTGAAGCAGAGACATAATAAACAATTTAGAGTTTGGTATCAAACACAGAGGACTGAAAAATTCTTAAAGTTCATTCAGTTGCGAAGAAGAGAAATCTAGTTATCCTTGTTTAACCAAGGAACAATGAGAACTATTTCTATTTTATTCACATATGTATTTACTTCTTCAACAACATTTAAAGGTTTTTCACTACAAGCACTATTCTAGGTTGCAGGGAAGACAAAAGTGAATAAAAGATCTAAAATTCCTTTCCTTATGAAGATCTCAATGATAGGATGAGAGGGACAAATAAAAATATGAAGCAAATTAATTATTAGATGAAAAAATAGTAAAATATGCTATCAAAAAAATTAAAAGAGGATAGATAACAGAATAGATGAAGGTGAGGGCTATGAAGAACATCAACTGTGACCAAAATTCAGGGGGAACATGGGATGTGGGACTGTGTGCTAAAATTAGAACAGTGTGAAGCATATTAGATGGATGGTCAGCCTACAGCTAACCAGAAAGCACAGGTAAAGTCCCTGAATCAAGACTTTTTTAAAAAGACCTGTAGAAAAGGAGGTGGTGACCCAGCTGATATCTAGGGCAAGAGAACTCTGGTTGGGAGAGTATAGTAAATGCAAAGAACATAAAGTAGATACATGCACAATGAGATACAGAAAGAGAGGGCTAGAGTTGCTAGAGATGAATACCCGGGGGAAAGAGTGACAGGAAGGGAGATCAAACAAGTGACAAGAACTGGGTCACAGAAGGTCTTGTGGGTCAACAGAAAGACATCGAACCATTAGATGATTTAAGGCAAATATTGTCATGACCTGATTTATATCTTAGAAGCATCACTGAGGCTGTTTTGAGACAGCAGTTCCAAGGAGAGAGTGAGGAAGCTAATGCCATCATCCATGCAAGAAATCATAGCAGTTCAGAGCAGAAAGAGAGCAGTGGAAAGCAGTGAGATGCTGCCATGGACTATATGAGAAAGATGAGAAGGAGTTGCTTTTCCTGATGAGCCGTGAAGATACTGAGAATGGGAACAGATATACATCTGAAAATCAGAGACAAGACTGGCTGAAGATAAAAAGTTGTACAATTATATATGAAGTTATTAGGCCTTGAGTTGTTGAGAATATAATGGAGACAATACACAAACTAAATTTGCATCTTCAAATTATAAGAAATTTCTTCCATGTCAAGAGGAAGAAAGAAGATTTTAAGAGTTAAATGTATAAGTTTATGGAATTTTTCTGGTAGTTGTCTTATTGTAAGGTTATTACAAGGAATATTGTCATTTGAGAGTGAAGATGAAGAATAGAAGAATAAAACTGGAAATCAGGGGAGATAGAAAGTATGAAATCATCATATTGAGGTTGTAAGTGTAAATGATCCAGGAAAATGTAGTAAGATCATTAAGTACCCTCAAGACACATTTGATATCAGCAGTACATACATTAATGTAGGTCCAGACAACATGGATGTGAGTTTCTCTTTAGCTATAATTAGCTGCATGGTATATATGTGGAACAGCCAGAAACTTGGATTTAATCAGCAATGAAATTTTAACAAAATAAGTCTGGCAAAGTTAGGGAAAGAGAGAGATATAAAACACTTTGTGAAAATTAAAGGTTTTATTTTTTAATGACCTTGGAATTCAAGTAGAACAAATAAGAAAATGAGACAAAACTGAGAAGGTTAAGGGTTGGGATTAATAGAATACAGAGCTTAGTGTGGTGGTATAATAACAAAAGTGGAGGAAAGAGGAAATATTAATATGAAATGTATTACAGTTTCCAAGAAAAAAAAAGAGCCTTCTGTATGCTTGGAGACAGCAGCAAGATATTTGATCGTCTCTTTGTTTTTCAGGTTGCATAGTTTTGTATCTCTCTTTTTCTTCACATGCCTATTTTATTCTTGTCTATTTCCAGAAAAATATTCTCTTCTTTGGTTAACCTATAGTTATCCCTGATCCAGAACTCCATGAAATCCTAGTTCCAAAGTTCTAATGAGTTCATGGGGAAAAATAATCTGTTTTTGTGGCTGAGGTCCAACTGTATTTGCATCAATTGATGGCAGGGTGTGACATCATGAATTCTATCCTTTAGAAGGTGTAATGGAAACTGAATTCTGAAAAGGTGTCAAAATATGAAGAGATAAACTTAAGAAAAAATAATATGAGAAAACAATACTATGTATGAGTTCAAAGTCTTAGGCAAACAAAAATTCTAATGTATTAAAATAAAAAAATAAGATACTGGACAGCATTTGTGGTCATTTTAGTTTAGCTAAAATATTTTATTTGAATTTTTGGTTTTCATATTTATTTTTTGAAAAGAATACATATTTTCTAGAATGTTTAATCTACTTATAAGGCTTCATTATTTCAGGAAAGCAATTGCCATTGAATATTAAATATTTCTCTTCATAAATTGTGAACAAGGAAAAAAGTAGACTTAAATAAGAAGGTGTGGGGGTTAGGAAGAAATGGTTCCTGGAGAAAGGGGTTGGCATTTTATAAAAGCAACTGTGACTTTGAGTTAATGCTCTTAACTATGCACTAGTTTCAGACTGAGAGAGAGAAGTGTTTTTGCCAAGTTTAGTTGTCAAGGTAGTAGTCTATGTCATACCTTGATTGAAAGTGGATAGGCAATTCATTTGCTCTGAATATTCCAGCCATGCAACCATCCTCCTCTCAGTCTATGCACTTCATTTTGGGAAGTTTTTCTCAACTTCTATCTTTAAATTTTATTTTCTCAAAATTTTCCATTCATATGATATTCTAAGCTCTGTGTAATATAAAATATATCTACCTTTTCTATAAACCATAATTGTGGCAGTTTAGGATTATAATTTTCAGCCCTCTTTTCTTCCCATATATTTATCCATTCCAATCTATTGTGGAAAGCAAATTGATTTTTCTTTGAAATCTCTACAAATTTCTTTGTGTTCTCTACACATCAATGGGTGTTAATAAAAATGTTTATACTGAGCTAAGCATTTCTATTGATTTAAAGCAATAACTATCTGTTTAGAGAACTGTAGATATTAGGCACTATGATAACTGAAGTAGAATGTATAAAATAAAGAAGACAACTTTGATATCCTTTCATCAATTAGAGATTCTCATATGACTTAAGATGAAGAGTTCCTATTTATAAGACACAATGGTGATGAGTGAAGTCAGGTACTAGACATGTGATTAGAGATGAGTGGATTTCCAAGTGGAATAAAATGGATGGGACCTGGGCACAGTGGCTTATGACTGTAGTCCCTGCAGCTGGGGTGGTTGAGGCAGGAGGATCACAAGTTCAAAGCCAGCCTCAGCAAAAACGAGGCACCAAGCAACTCAGCGAGACCCCGTCTCTGAATACAACACAAAATATACAAAATAGGGTTAGGAGTGAGACTCAGTGGCCAAGTGTCCCTGAGTTCAATCCTGTAAATATCTAAATAAATAGTAAAATGGAGGCTCTTGCAGAAAGGTATCTGTGCACTTAGGTCCCTGGATGCAATGCAAGATTTTGGAGTATAATCACTCAGGAACCACCAGTGAATGTTGAATGATTTTAGGTATTATGATCAGAGTCATCATAGAATGTGCTCAAAACGATTGACAGATATGAAATCGTTTTAAGATTAATAATATAAATGAGAGAATGATTGAATGACAAAGATTATTGTCATTATTCCCTCCACAATGAAGACAAAGGAAACCAGACAGATAAGTAGAATGGGGAATATTGATGAGATTTAACTTTGTATCTTGATCTTAGGAAGAATTTTACATATTTTCTACAGAGCATTGCCATTAATAAACTGAGATAATGTAACTAAGAAATACAGCTTGAGTATGGTCATGGAACATAGTGTGAATGGTTCACATGAGAGAGACAAAATAAGTCTGTGCCATGTTTTCCTTCTGGCTCCATTCTGAAAGCACTGCGTGAATGTCTGGGAGGAGCGAAGCATGGTGAGTTGTAAGAATCAAATGGTACCTGGAGAACCTGGGCAGATCTTCCGTCATTAGTGTCAGGTTGTATTTGTTGTCTAGCTGTACTGGGAAGATATGAGCATTTATTTACGTGAGGCATTGGAGGGGAACATCCATTTCACATTCAGGAAACAGGAGTTGAAGTCACAATTCACAGTCTGTTTCAGGTAAGCAGAGCCCTCCGTGCTATTTGCCAGCCAGTAACATGCACTTGCTTCTTAGTGGATCCTCTGGCTTATCCCCAGGAGCTTTATATGCTAAAAATTTCCCACTGCTGTGCCTCAGACATCTAAATTAAGAATTTAAAATTTCTTATTAAAATATAATAACATTTCAAGTCTTAAACTTTATCTATTTCCCTACACTTGTATTTAAAATTGTTAAATGTTGATGGAGCTGTTGACGGGGTCACTATGAATTAATTAAAGTCTGAGTTGAGAAACTGGGAGCACAAATGAATGATGATTACAGTCTATGAATTTCTCACATTTAGTTTGAACTATTTTTAATCTGCGATTTAAATATTTCTATTATTAAGAAAAATATATGATTATATTGCTTTATATTTCTGATTCCTCATTAATTGTGCACTAAAATGTGATAGAAAAGAGACCCTGGTGAAATAAAGTCTTGTGTGTGAATTCTGGAGCAGACTTTGTCAATGGTGTAGTTACTCAATTCCCATAACTTGACCTTTCCCATCTGAGGAAACCTTCCTGGATCAAATTCAAGTTTTGTCATTTACTACCCCAATTTTGAAAGAGTTCTTAACTTTTTTTTAGTTTAGATTCCTTATAACCAAAATGAAGATTTAAAGGACACAAACCTCATAGATTTAGTGTAAGGACAATGTTTATACATAAAACAATTAGAACAAGACTGACAAATGAAAAATAGTAAATATTATCTCTCATAATCAATGCTACTAAGAAAAATCTCACTTAATAGGACTGTTCAGAGACATCAGTAGTCATAGTGTGGTATCTGTGACATGGTGAGTGCTATGTAAATATTAAACCAATTTGAATTTGAGAATAGACAAACACAGTTTTCTAGTCTCCTTTCCTGGATTAGTAAAATCTCAGGCCATGGATATGGACTGAAGCCCCAGAAGTCTGAGTTGAGGTGAAGATTAACTGCAATATGCCTCCTGGGTAAAAGATATAAAGCTGAGGCAATGTCAATGATAGAAAATAAAAATAAAGTAAGACAGAGAGTGCAAAAAGTCAGTGTCTTAATATCTATAAAGGGACAAATTAAAATTATGAGGTGAGGGAGAGAATGAATATACTAGGACAGTTTCCTTAGTTCACTGGGCTATAACTTTATAACTACTACCTGAATTTTGAAGGCAATGAAATGAGGCAGACACCACTGACCAAATAGTTGGTGAGTTCCTACGACTGTTCTGCTGTGGGGAAGAGGAAGGATCTCCTGATTAGCCTAAATTTTATTTCCAATGAAGTTGGTAGAGATGGAGGGCATCTCTGTCAACTCTGTAAAGACAATAGTGTTAGAAGGCACCTCCAGGCCTTCTCTACATTCATTGATTCTGTTGATTTCACACACACACAAAAAAAGATTGACATTTCAGATTGATGAAATTGGAGCAGAGGTAAATCATTCTCTGGCCTTTAGGACCTTATTCTTTAAATCCTGGACCTATTTGCATTACTTGGAGTAAATATGGTTTTGCTATCACTGCTTACCCCAGTTGGCCATCTGTATTTCTGTTCCCCTTGCAGCAGACACCATTAGTATTGGGAGACTGCTTTTCGTCAAACACATGCCTTCCATTAGGTGTGTGAGTATTCAGCTCAATGAGGAAGGCCTTGTAGCATTCTCCAATGCTGCTTAATTAGGATATCTGCAATGCAGTTTATGAAACTGATATTTTAATGCAATCCCTCTTTGCTGGTGTCTGTTTATTTAATTTTCCCAGCCCATAGAACCATATACTTGGGATTTGGAATATTAATTAATCAAGCTCCATAATTACTACCACCTCAATGATCTAGTAATTTTGAAGGGAATCAGAGCTAAAGGTGAAAATTGAGATAGGAAGTCTTCTTGATGCTGTTCACTCTGAGTAATGGACAAGTCATTCTCTCCCATTTGAGAAAAAAAAAATGAAGGATTTGAAGGATTAGAGTAAGTATCTTCTTACATACACACACACACACACAATTTATGTGCCTGAATATCTCATATAGTATGATTAAGTTCCCAACTAACCCTGGTGTTCTAAAATATTAATGTTTAAATCCAAATTAGCCACTAAGTCCAATAACCTAGTATAATATAAATGGACTGGAGAAAGTGTAGTAATTAAATTTAAAATGTTCAAAAGAACATTTATCCTTTTATATAATAATCAATAGAGACATTTTATATTCTCCCATTTTCTAAAAATAAAGTCAATTTCATAGAAAGATGCCAGAGAGAAAATTGATCAAAGACAAACAACAAAAAGAATTGATAAATATAAATGCACCTTGTTGGGGTGTCTGGGCTAGTGTCATGAGACCTGTAGTAGATCCAATTTAATTAGCAACTTGACTTTCTTTTAGAATGGTGTAAATAGTATGGGAAATTTGCAAATTAGGCCAAGTTGAGAGAAATAGCACATACTATGAAAAATAGATAAATTGATTAGAAAAAGAAGTAGGCAAATTACTACATAACAAAGAAATTCAGTAGAAATTTTCAGTGGACAGTGTAGAGCAGATTGAAAAAGATTCTGTAAAGGCTAATTGTCAAAGGTTTTTTCAATATGGCAATATGTCCTTTAATTTATGGACTTTAAAAAAACTTCTGCATCATTAATGCATTCTTGTTCAAATTATTTTAATTGCTTAATTGATACACAATTAAAACTTCATGAAATTTCCCTATGTACAATGTATAAAATACTCAATATATTCATAAAATTATTAAACCATTGCCACCATTTAATTTTATACCATTTTATAACCACTAAAAAAAAATCATGCACTCTTCTCTTGGAAACTAAGAATTCACTGTCTATAGTGATTTACCTATTTTGGATCTTTTATGTAAACAGAATCAGGCAATATATGGTATTTTGTGGCTAGTTTCTTTCACAGTATAACATTCTCAAGATTCATCCATGTTATGGTGTATTAACATTACATATTCTCTTGTATTACTAAATAATATTAGGCTGTATAAATATATCATATAACTTTGTATTTTGGTGCTGGAAATTGACTATAGTGCCTCACACCTGCTAAGCACATGCTCTAATACTGAGTTATATACCCCCCAGCCCCTCACATAGCATTTTATTCATTCATCAGCTGATGAACAATTATGTTGTTTCCATGTTTTTGCTATTATAAATAGACCATTATAAATATTAATCTTCAAGTTTTTGTGTGGACACAAGCTGTGATTTCTCTTGAGTATAAATGCTTAGGAGCAGAACCACTGGATCATATGGTAACTCTAAGTCAACATTTGAAGGACTGCCAAACTGTTTTCCAAAGCAGCTGCAAAATATTACATTCCTAGCAGCAATGTTTGAGGTTTTCAATTTCTTCTCATCCTCACCCACACTTTTTATTGTGCCTTTTTGACTATCACTACCCTAGTTGTTGTGAAGTTCTCTTGTTGTGTTTTTTGATTTACCTTTCCCTGATGACTAATAATATTGAGCAAGTTTTCATATATTTCTTTGTCACTTGCATGTCCTTTTGGAGAAATTTCTATCCCTATAATTTCTTCACTTTTTAAAAGGGGTCACTTGTCTACATATTATTTTATTATAAAAATTTTTGGCATAGTCTTGACACAAATCCCTTATTCGGGATATGTATTTGAAAATAACTTTTTCCATTTTGTGTGTTGACTTTTCACTCTCATGATAGCATGGTTCTCAACACAAAAATACTACTCTTAAGTCCAATTACTTTGTTTGATGGTGTCTTAGAAAAAAAATTACATGACACCAGACCACATTTTCACACCTACATTTTCTTCATAGAATTTTATATTTTCAGGTAATACATTTAGATCTGAGACCCATTTTGAGATCATTTTTATAAGTAGTAAAGGTGGGAGCCTAACATTTTTTTTTCACATGGCTATTTTGCTGATCAAGCAACAATTTATATAAAAAAATTCTTAATAGACACATTGGTGCACATATGTAATACCAGCTACTCAGGAGGCTGAAAAAGGAGAATCACAAATTTGAGGCTTCCTTCAGTAACTTTGTAAGACCCTTAGCAACTTAGAGACACCCTGTCTCAAAATTTTTTAAAAAATGTATAAAAGAACTAGGGATGTAGCTCAGTGGTAAAGCACTCCTCTGTTTAATCATATCAGGGAAAGATTATTTTTCCTCATTTAAATGTCTCAGTATGATTGTCAAAAGCAAATTCATCATAAATATGAGGGGTTATGTCTGATTTTTCAACTATATCTCCTTGATATATTTGCATCATTTATATTTTTAGTTCTACATCTCTATCATAATATACTTATATGTAAGATATATATTCAAATTTAGGCACATTGATATATATCTCAATATACATAGACACATTTATATATATCATATACATTTATATATTCATATGTATATTTTATATAAAAGTGACTCTGGAATTGATTGATGGGAAAGGCTGAAATAATTTTTAGGCACTTGATTTAAAAAACAAAAAACAAAAAAAACTAACTTACATTTACTTGAAGAAACCATTGGTAGAAGCATGGGAGGTAAATATGATTCTGATGGGGGTTTAATTTCATTTTGCTACATATGTATTTCCAGTTTTCCCATCACCATTTGTTGAAGAGGCTATCTTTTCTCCAAGGTATGTTTTTGGCACCTTTATCTAGTATGAGATAACCCTATTTATGTTGTCTCTGTGTCTTCTATTCTACACCATTGATCTACATGTCTGTGTTGGTGCCAATACCATGCCATTTTTGTTACTATAGCACTGTAGTATAATTTAAGGTCTGGTACTGTGATGCTCCCTGCTTCACTTTGATAAAGATTGATTTCACTATTCTGGTTCTCTTATTTTTCCAAATTAATTTCATGACTGCTTTTTCTATTTCTATGAAGAACATCATTGGAAACTTAATAGGAATTGCATTATATATGTATAGTACTTTTGGTAGTATGACCATTTTAACAATATTAATTCTGCCTATCTGGGAGCATGGGAGATCTTTCCATCTTCTAGGACCTTCTTCAATTTCTTTCTTTAGTGTTCTATAGTTTGCATCATAGAGATCTTTTACCTGTTTTT